ATGTGAGAAGCAGGATGACAAGGAACAATCTGTATTTATTATTGCTTTACTATCAGTTGTTGTTGTTCTATATAAGTTTTATGTCAGTAGCAGGATGACAGGGAACAATCTGTATTTATTATTGCTTTACTATCAGTTGTTGTTGTTCTATATAAGTTTTATATGAGTAGCAGAATGACAGGGAACAATCTGTATTTAGTATTGCTTTACTATCAGTTGTTGTAGTTCTATATAAGCTGTATGTGAGTAGCAGGATGACAGGGAACAATCTGTATTTGTTATTGCTTTACTATCAGTTGTTGTGGTTCTATATAAGTTTTATATGAGTAGCAGAATGACAGGGAACAATCTGTATTTATTATTGCTTTACTATCAGTTGTTGTTGTTCTATATAAGTTTTATATGTTTAGCAGAATGACAGGGAACAATCTGTCTTTATTATTGCTTTACTATCAGTTGTTGTGGTTCTATATAAGTTGTATGTGAGGAGCAGGATGACAGAGAACAATCTGTGTTTATTATTGCTTTACTATCAGTTGTTGTGGTTCTATATAAGTTTTATGTGAGTAGCAGGATGACAGGGAACCATCTGTATTTATTATTGCTTTACTATCAGTTGTTGTGGTTCTATATAAGTTGTATGTGAGTAGCAGGATGACAGGGAACAATCTGTATTTATTATTGCTTTACTATCAGTTGTTGTGGTTCTATGTAAGTTGTATGTGAGTAGCAGGATGACAGGGAACAATCTGTATTTATTACTGCCTTACTATCAGTTGTTGTGGTTCTATATAAGTTGTATGTGAGTAGCAGGATGACAGAGAACAATCTGTATTTATTATTGCTTTACTGTCAATTGTTGTGGAACATAAATTAACTATAGTTCTATAAAACTAACCAAATCATCCTTTCAATAACGTTCCTAGAACCAGTAAGTATGGTAATCATCCAACCTCCAGTATGATAACCTCTTTGCGAGCAGTAAGATAACCCTCAGTCTTCATTATGGTTATCATTCTACCAGTAGTGTAGTATATGGTGTGGTTACCGTCAATATGATAACCACATGGTAGCCTTTTTGTCAGTTGTATGATAACATTCAACTAACTGCACTAGACTTTCTTATATACTGTACACAGAGGTAAACTAGTGAACATCAACACTGTGCTAATCATGATCATTCATACAACAATTATGAACATTTTGATACAAGTATCAGGAAAAAGATTATCGCTATATAAAAAAGCTATGTATGGGATGGGAGTGGACATATTACTTAATCGGCTAATGATCACATAGTAGACTAAGCTGTCTCGACTTTACATGGAGAATAAAAACCCTACATTACTGACTTCCCCACTTTGTTTATCTAAAGCTTGGTGTTTGAATAGAATCTCAGCTTTCATTATTATACCTTCCCTTTAGTTAACTTTAGAATATAACTTTTATGATTATTTTATAATTGAGTAACATTTTACGATTGGAAATTCTGGTTCTGTTTGTTTTGTCAGTGAGGAAGCCAGTAATGTAGGGATTTTATTCTCCATGTAAAGTCTATACGACTTAGTCTGCCATGTAATCATTGGTCGGATCAAGTGGTATGTCCACTTTCATCCCTATCTTGTTTGGTTCCTTTTTTCAAGTTCAGTAGCCAGCCCTACATAACTTTTGTATTTATCGATAATGTTTTTTCTAATACTTGTTTGTTTACGTTTTTTTTATAAGATGGCGTACGTGGGTTACTAGGTTATAGAGTGTATTCTAAAGCTTTGTAAATTTTGCATAGAATAATAATAAAATAGGTAGTCAAAGATCATGAAGATCAAATGATGATAAAATTATAGTTACTGCTAGAACTAGGTAGGCGCTAGGTCTGTTGAAGAAAGATGATGATGAACGAAAATAACAAATCTCGGTTCTGGCTATAAGCCAGTTTTCGACTTTTGGACACTCTGGATAGCTGAAAAGCGTCGTATATAGCTCTTCATATCTAACTTTTGTATTACTTTAATACGGGCATCCGTGCCATCCCTACACGGATCGTTTTCTTGCAGTTATAAACGTTTTCTATTCAATATAACCAAACCTTGGATGGAAGAGTCTAACGCCATGTAAAGTTGGCATTCACTTGATTATGGTTACCGTAGTAACATTTTACTAGCAGTAAAATTATAATGAAGTCTTATTATATAGTCCTAAATGAGGTGCAACTTTTTATCTTACCTAGATAGGACCGTCCTCCTGAAGATTAATCGGTCAACACCTGTGAAGAAGAATGACATCATTGCCGAATTTAAATCTCCCCCGGTGGACATCGACGTGTTGAGAAGGCCTAAAGAGGAGAGAATGAAGCTGGAGATAGAAGAGGTAACTATTTAGCCATAGAAAGCCGTATAGTAGACAAAAAAAATCATTAGAAGTGTTTATCTTAAATCAAAAATAAAGTATTTATTCCATGGGAAGTAATCAACTAAACGACATAGTAGATACGTATATATAAGAAGGGGCTCACCTGACTCAACCCAGTTTTATCTCATAGAAGGTCCTCTTGTGAGGTATATAAAATGAATATCATTTTGTGCTCAGGAGCAAGTGTGATTACACTCAGTCCTAAATGATATAGGCCTTCTTGTCAGACACAATTATCACTTCTGGGGCTCGGAGTACGCCTGATACACTGCTGAAACTCGGGAACAGTTTTATTTCATAGAAGGTCCTCTTGTGGGGTATATAAAATGAATATCATTTTGTACTCAGGAGCAAGTGTGATTACACTTAGTTCTAAATGATATAGGCCTTCTTGTCAGACACAATTATCACTTCTGGGGCTCGGAGTACGCCTGATACACTGCTGAAACTCGGGAACAGGCTCAGAGTTGCAGTCTTTCAGGTCCCTATAACTCAACAACTAAAGGCTCCCACACCCATTTCAAAGGAAACAATATGAAACTTATCTTATTTTCTGGATTCCTGGATGGGTCAACTGTTTTAACTACTCGCACCACTATATAATAGTGTGTTGTCAGTCAGTCACTCAGTCGGCACTAAAATGACGTCACATAAAGTACGCTTAACTTTGCAATTTCGTGACATCAGTAAAACGTACACACGCCAGGAATCACGAGAATAATTATGCACTTTGTAAGCTACAACACGGCATGACATGTGAATATGAAAAGCAAGAAATAAAAATATTAGTTACTCTTAATTCTGATTTTATTTACTCTTGAAACAGAACACTTTCGGGGACCCTGCGAAAGTACATCTAGTACTAAATCAGTATAATACACCTAGGTTCTTTGATAGTTTCAAAGTTTCAGTTCTCATACTGACTGCGAGTGGACTTTTGTAGCAGTAAAGAAAGATCTGTCACGAGTAAGAATAATATTTGCTTTCTTGTTGTTTGTATGAGTGGAAACCGCTCCGAACAATGTAATTACCTTCTTATTCAAACAATTAAAGATGTGGCGAGTCTCGAGTATAGGGTAAATAAATAAATAAAAACAGGCACGGAAAAAGGACTTATACACAATCTAACACCATAGTCTCAACCTATTGTCTCGGAACTTCAGGGGTCCGGCATTCTAAAAGAGGGGAGGGTCGGCTAATTCCGTATTTTTAATTAACATTTAAGACTGTTACTAGATAATTAACACAAAAAATAAGAAATAAATACGTTTGAATTCATATTCATTAGAAAAGCTCTCACTGTCTTGATAAAACGTCAATAAATGGCTATTACTGGCACTGTGTTCTGTCGGGATATGTCTAATACTACATAATATTGTTACAACATTAGTTCATTGATATTACAGACACTGTACAGTATTCTGTCTAGGTACCATCTGCTTAGTTCAATACTTGCTCTGTATTATACGTCGTTTGTTACATAACGTTGTTACAACAGTAGTACATTACTGTTATTGACACTGCGTTCCGTCTAGATACTACTTGGTTAGTTCAATACTTGCTCTGTATTATACGTCGTATGCAACATAACGTTGTTACCACAGTAGTACATTACTGTTTTTGACACTGCGTTCCGTCTAGATACTACTTGGTTAGTTCAATACTTGCTCTGTATTATATTATTGATCTTTTTACCGTCAGAGATCCCAGGTGTAACTGCCATTTTGTAGTATAAAGAGAAATCATAACATGAAAAATATTTGATTTTACAACAAACACTTTGTACAAAGTTGGACGTAGAGCTGAGTAAATAAGATAAGAACTGCGTAGTAATCAGATCAGTCAACACGTCTCGAGGGTTTAAATATTACCACACCTAAACCACACTTGGGAACACAATGGGAAGAAAATGCTAGAAGGTAAATTTGATTAGGTACAACTGATAAATGATATCCTGAAACAAAACATAATATTAAAACCACACATTTATGCTCTAATTGATAAACAGTTTCATTTGAAACTCACTTACTCCTTCCGTAAATATTATTAAGTGTGTGATACAGTCAACATGGAACTACGTTTTTTGATAATGGAAAACAAGAAAAAACTTGAACCAAAAACAATGTCAAAGATTTTACAATGAAGGGAATTCTCTTATTTAAGAACAAGAATTTCCGAAATCCTCTTTGGAATAGAGATCTTATAAAATTTTGCAGGCCTAAATATGTGTTGTAATGAAACTCGTAAAGTTTAGGATCTGTAATGGTGTGTTTAGGATCGAATCTTACAAACTTAACCTTGTCTAAAGATTTAATGAAGCTGGTTGTGTTCTAATGAGTAGTTTGTCGAATTACAGTTCGGAAAGAGTAAAGTTCGAGTTTAGATAGCCGCTGAACGCACTGCAGTTTCAGTTATTGAAGTGCTAGAATTGTGACAGTCGACCCTGCTATTAGTTTAAGAATATTTATGTAGGCAGCGAGTGCTAGTGATTGGTGCCTTTCTCTGGACATCAGTTTAAACTATGATCAGCTATTTGACGACGAGGAACCCACTTGTCAGCAAATAAAAGTTTGGGTACGGCTCCAAACTTTTATTGTCAGCTATGTTTTAATCTTGGAGTGTCTCATCCGTCTGTTTGAATTATGGTTAGCTATGCCTTAATCTCGGAGTGTGTCACCTGCCCGTGTAAACTATGGTCAACTATGACCTAATCTCGGAGTGTGTTACCTACCCGTGTAAACTATGGTCAGCTATGGCCTAATTATGGAGTGTCTCAGCTGACGCTTCCATGCCTTTGGCTTTGAAAATACCAAATACGTAGAAGTATTTTGAGCATGAAACTGGGTGTTTATCACATTAAACAAATACGTCTGTTGTATTTAATACAGGAAATAACAACAACAACAACAAAAAAAAAACCGTAAAAAAAAAGATCTGAAAAGTGTTTTCCAAAAATTGCACGTAGACACACAAAGTTCAGATTCGGACACTTAAATATTTCACTTTTCACTGTGATAATCTTAAAAATCAAATCTCCGTTTTATTTCCGAAGTCAGGTTGCCTGTAGCACAGTCGAAACTAACTCTAACTCAGTAGATTGTTTAAAGCTCTAGGTTTGGACGACACTTGTCTTCGCACTACTGTTGAATGTGTGCTGACAGTATGTAAATGGTTATATTAGAATTGATGCATTTAGGGTTCTCGTATATTTGTTTTTTATCAATACAGAAAAATAAAAACACACCAGAAATTCCTAAGGATTGCCAGACAGAAAACTTTATTGAAACTATCACAGAAAAAGGCTCATATACCGATATTCCACAATGGAAACGACAAATGCTTGCCAAAAGAGCCTCTGAGAAGGCCCACAAGATGTCGGTAGAAGAGATGCAGGTCTGTTAAATAACCCCTAATTAAACCTCACGTGATAAAGTGAAACATTATTTTCTCAGTTTCTGAAAGACACATCTTATTATTATTAATTTTTATATAATAGTTTGGCTCTGCTTTCAGGGTTTTTTTAGAAAGTTTTCTGAGATAATTGGTGTATATTTATCATTAAACCATAAGTCTAGTGCTAATATTTACGTCTTGATACAATATGAAAAATTATGCGATACTATTAAATACGAGTTATAATTGTATTTAGAAAGATAAAGTAAATTATATTTATAAAATTTACTTTGGGAAGTTTTTCGTTTGTTTGTGGCTTTGATTTTATAATGTTGTTGATTCTTAGAACAGATTGTGTTACTTGTGGAGCTGATTACGAAAAAAAAAAGTAAAACGTGAGAAGGCGACAGATAAATTTTAAAATTGTAAGTGTATGATATTTGTTTGCTCTGGAACAACAATGGCTGACAAATTATGCTCCTGAGGCGTGAGTAAATACTGCTAAGCTTGTCTAGTTTTCTTTATCATTGGGTTATGCAAATTTCATATTCGTTTTTAATCTCACCTGTCAAGAATCGAACGGGTAATATTAAATAATTAAGCCTACAACTTTCGTAGTACCATTTAAGAGATACGGGCTCTGTTTTATCTCCTTATTTCATACTTTCAATATTAAGTGATAAATGACCCACAGTGTAATGTCATGGGTGAATAATAAGATATCAAAAGACACAGAGTGCCACGTTAAAGGTGTATAATAAGAGATTGAAAGGCACTGAGTGTCATGCAATCTAGGTGAAGAATGAGAGATCGAAAAGCACTAAGTGTTATGTAATAAAGGGATTAAGTTGAAAACGTGAATAAATTATCATAACATTTTTTGCATGTACTTACGACCTGATCATTGTCATGGATATAAACTACTTAGTAATTAAGATTTAGGAATAGTAATGGAAAATTACTTACTAATAAATAATTAGACATAGGTAGGATGAAAATGGAAGATTAATGGATAATTACCTCTATTATGTAAATTTCCCGAAAATGTCTTCGTTGTTTGAAATCTGATAGCGAAACACAATTATAGTGCAATGTAAAAAAAAAAACATTATAAGCACATTTAAATAAAATAGATATTAGCTTCAAAATAAACAGTTTCGTTTTACTTTGGATCGTTCTGTTTATTGGTAAGTGTTCTCGAATTTATAGAGCTTGATTGATTGATTGTTTGCAATTGAGCATAAAGTTACCTGTGCTCTGCCCACCGCGGGTATCGAAACCAGATTTCTATCGTTGTAAGTCCGCATACGTACCTCTGTGCCATTGGGGGGCATCTATAGATTAAACAGATGATTTTTTATATCATTCTTTCTTATATATATACCCAGAAGCATTAAATCAGTAACGTTGTCATTAATTTTACCTACGTTAATATTG